TATCATATTTTGGTGTAAGATGAAATTGTTATTAGCTATATATTGTCGTGTTAGAATTAATACCGATGAGACTGATCCCATAAAATTCTATATGCATTATGCGGAGTTCTGATAGCTTTTTTTTGGCAGTGAAAATATGTTTATGTATTGGAACTAAATCGATAACTAATGCTTATACATTTTATTATTTATGCCTAATTCATTCTTTAATTTTCCCTTTTTGTGATTGCGCACTAATGATTCATTTGAGTTGTTGCCAATATCGAATCATAACCGTATGAGGTAATATTAAGTTGCGGGACTCGAATTCAATCACCCACAAAATCACCTGTTATAAGTATAACATTGGGAGTGTATTTTTAAAATTTTGAATCTCCACAAGTTCAACAATTACAACTTCAGAAATGGGAAGTGGATTATATAGCACTATTGGCATTATAAAAGAGTTATATCGTAAAATTTGTTATTATTTGGATTTAGTAGTATAAAATGAATTATTACGTAATAGTTGGGTATATATAAAATTTTCCGTTTTCAATACGACCATATTGTTACTTATAGCAAACTTAGCTAATAAAGATGAAAAGCCATAATATTTTTCTCCAAGATGTTTACTACAGAATGTAGTTTACAAATTTTAATTTTGGAATAAATACTCGATATGGCCAAACCAGTTGTTGGTCGATCCTTACAAGTTTTACACACAAATAAATTAGCTGCAAGTTTTTTGATATGGCCGAATTGAAAAGTCACGATGTATTTGATAATAAAGATAAGAAAAAACGAGGTAATCAACAACTATAATAAATAAATGGATTACAAGAATTCAACAAGAGAACACAAGGAAGGCAAAAGTCCAACCAATAATATGAATCTATTACGAAATATATAGACTGAAATTCGAAATTAGGTAGCTAATTACAGCAATAAAAGGTCAAAAATCAGCTAAACCAACAATTCCTATCCCCACATAAATAATGCAATTGACAAACATATCCAAAACTCCAATAAAATCTTCCAATTCAGTATCCTGTGGGGAACTTGCAACTGCCAAATTCTGCGAGATTAAAAAAAAAAACGAAAAATCAGTGATGGTTTCTTTTTGACAGGTTGATTGGAAACAACACTTATGTCAAAAGAAACCTCACTATTTTCTCTCTTAGTGATGGTTTCACTATTGCCTCTCCTTTTTCCTGACTCTTTTATTCTCTCGTCTTTCTCACTTTTCAACTTGATTTGATCTCCATACACTTGTGCCGGTGTTAATGGAGCAAGAGTAATAGTCTTCCCATCCTTGACAAAGCTATAACGATTCCTATAACCATCACGTGTGACCCTTTTATCATATTGCCATGATCTTCCTAACAAGATATGACCCACATGCATAGGCACCACATCACATACTACTTTGTCACTATAACTCCCAATTGAGAAATTAATTAAAACTCTTTTATTCACCCTAACTTCCCCACTTTTATTCAACCATTGCAACTAATAAGGCCTAGGGTGTTTTAACAATGCTCGTCCTAATTTCTCAACTAAAGTTGTACTAGCTACCTTCGTGCAACTCCCACCATCAATAATCATACTACATACCTTATCATTGACGTAACAATGTGTGTGGAATATATTTTCTCGCTGCTGCTCCGAATCATCCACTTTGACTTGAGCGTTAAGAGCTCTCTTTGATACCAACGATTCCCCAACAGCAAACTCCAATTTTTCTTCTTCTTCAACGTCCTCCAATGCAGGCATGTCCTCAAACTCTCCTTCACTTTCACTCACGACCTCTCCATCATCCAACAAAACCATTACCTGTTTATTTGGGCATTGAGAAGAAATGTGCCCTGACCCCAAACATCTGAAACACTTGATGTCACGATTCCTTGATGGTTGTGAATCTGTTTTGGGTGCTGTTTTGTTAACACTTTCTTCTTTCCCTTTCTGCCACTCATTCCTACCTTTAGGTACTACTTTATCACCTTTATTGTTGTTGTTCCACCCTGGCTTCTAAGATGGATTAACACTCGAAGTTCCTAACGGCTGCCTAGCTGCCCCTTTCCTCTTCAGCTATCTCTCTACCTTTAGAGCCACATGCAACATGTCTTCCAACTCCACATAATGTTGCAACTCCACTACATTGGCAATTTCCCTATTCAACCCATTCAAGAATCATGCCATGGTAGCCTCCTGATCCTCCACCACATTGGCCCTAATCATGAGTATTTCCATCTCCTTATGATAGTCCTCTAAACTTTTCGACCCTTGATATAGACCTTGCAGTTTTTGATGGATCTCTCGGTAATAGTGGCTAGGAACAAACCTCTTTCTCATCAATGAGTTCAATTCCTCTCCAGTGCTGATTGGTCTTCCCCCACTCCTACGTTGTGAAGTAATCACTTGATCCCACCATGAAATTGCATAGTCACTGAACTCCAAAACTGCTAACTTCACATTTTTCTCCTTCGAATAGTTATAACACTCGAAGATCATTTCAACCTTCCTTTCTCACTCCAAGTATGCCTCGGGATCACTCTTTCCTTTGAATGAAGGAACTGTCATTTTTATATTTCCCAAGTTTCCATCCAACTCCTCCCCGCGATCATTCTGACCCCGTCTGTCGAACCTATCGCCTCTATTCCTCATCCTTCCCATCTCAACACCGTGAAATTTATCTTCGTCCATGTCACTCTCATATCCGTACTCCTCTCGCCTTTCCCTCCTAGGCTCCCATCTATCCGGTCCTCTGGCATTGGATACATCCACTCGATGCCCCCGACTAAGATTAGCCATCGATGTATCTAATCTATTCATTCAAGCCTCCTGCTTCTCCAACCTATCTCTCACATCTCCAAACACCCTCTCAAACCTCTGCACTAAATCCTCCGTTGCATTGCTCTTATTGCCTTGTCGGCTTGAGTTTGATTCTACCCTTTCTGACATCCTAACACTAAAATTTTATTTTATCACCTCACCAAAAGTCACTCGGAAACACACACAAGGCTTTTACCCTCTATTAAGCTCACCTCCCTGCCTTTTACCACTCAATTCTTTCAACAATTGCTTCTAGGAACAATCAATGAACTCAATCAATCAATCAATTCGTTTAGAATTCCCCAAACCGGATGTGACTCAATAATTGTAACAAAGGACTCGAATAAAACTTTTAAAACTTGATTTGAATGAAGGAATGGAATGATTCAATGTGTCCAAGTAATTTAGAAACGATAATGAATAATAATAGTTGGTTTTTGACGGATCAATAATTATTTAACAAGTTTTTTTTAACTGTACGGATGAACAGTAATTTTTTTTTAGATCCGAAAATCAATAACAAAACCAACAAAGAAAACTAAAACTGATTTGGGCGAAAATTGAGTCCAAAAACGGAATTTGAAGATTTTTGATGAAATTTTTGGATCAAAGATCAAGAAAACCTTCTGAACACAAGAACACAAGGAATTGAAAAAAATTAGAAAACAAAGGATATAACCTGATTAAATTGGAGCCAAAACTCTGATACCAACTGCGAACCCCGTAGCAATGGAAATTACGAAACCCACAACGAGATTGATGCGGAAACCAAGAACGCCAATACTAACCCGGTTTTGGATCTTCAACCCCAAGAATTGAATAAAGAAACCCTTGATTACAACTGAAAGAACCCACAATCCGATTGATAGAACGCCACAAGAAGTTGAATCTTGATAAGTTCCAAAATTGTTCAAGAAGAACAATTAAATTGAAAGAATAATTCTCTTTCTATAATATTAAGCAATAGTCAAAGTTGAAAAGTCTTTACAATGAAAAAATATTCTCCTATTTCTTCGGCTGCTTGTAACGCATTGATCCATTTTGTTTCGGCCTTTGACCCGACCACGAAACTTGTCTCATTTTGAGTCCCGAACATGGTTCCATCAATAGTTTCTTGAACGAGCAATCCCATCGCTTGTTTCACTTGCTTTGCCCTTGATCGCGTCATTGGTCCGCCATCGACTATCAACGGGTCTCATCTCGCACTTGCCTTCATCGGGCTCGACTCCTGAATCATAGCAAACCCCTTTGAATTCTGTGATTTATATGTGATACAGTTTGTCAAATATTTTATCCACAAGAAGATCGATGTTATGGCTGATGTTTGATCCAAAATTTGTAAGAACGTACCTAGCAGCTCAACTATACAAGCATGTCTGCGAGATGGTCATCAAAGATTATGAGACTGACTTCAATCTTGTATCACAAAGAATCAGAAGGGATAGAAAGATGAAGGGAATTGTCAATCGTAGGATCGATTCGGCTTAAATCCATGTGTTTTGTTTAATGGGAAACCCACTCTAAACAATTTCTTTCACTCTAATATTGTAGTGGGGAATGTTTTTTATTTTGGCATGTTCGGATGACACGTTGATCCCATTTTACGAAGATCCTACTATGATGTTTTAGCAGTATTTTATCATATTTTGGTGTAAGATGAAATTGTTATTAGCTATATATTGTCGTGTTAGAATTAATACCGATGAGACCGATTCCATAAAATTCTATATGCATTATGCGGAGTTCTGATAGCTTTTTTTTTTGCAGTGAAAATATGTTTATGTATTGGAACTAAATCGATAACTAATGCTTATTTTATTATTTATGTCTAATTCATTATTTAATTTTTCTTTTTTGTGATTGCGCACTTATGTTTGGATTTAGTAGTATAAAATGAATTATTACGTAATAGTTGGGTATATATAAATTTTTCTGTTTTCAATATGACCATGTTGTTACTTATAGCAAACTTAGCTAATAAAGATGAAAAGCCACAATATTTTTCTCCAAGATGTTTACTACAGAATGTAGTTTACAAATTTTAATTTTGGAATAAATACTCGATAAGGCCAAACCAGTTGTTGGTCGATCCTTACAAGTTTTACACTCAAATAAATTAGTTGTAAGTTTTTTGATATGGCCGAATTGAAAAGTCACGATGTATTTGATAATAAAGATAAGGAAAATTGAGGTAATCAACAACTACAATAAATAAATGGATTACAAGAATCCAACAAGAGATACAAGGAAGGCAAAAGTCCAACCAATAATATGAATCTATTACGAAATATGTAGAATGAAATTCCAAATTAGGTAGCTAATTACAGCAATAAAATGTCAAAAATCAGCTAAACTAACAATTCCTATCCCCACATAAATAATGCAATTGACAAACATATCCAAAACTCCAATAAAATCTTCCAATTCAGTATCCTGTGGGGAACTCGCAACTGCCAAATTCTGCAAGATTAAAAAAAAAAAAAAAGAAAAATCAGTAAAAATCAATAATTTCTTAACATTCAAGTTTAATAAGTATGGTTACACCCACCAATTAATTTAAAACAATACTAAGATTAGTCAAATGATTAAGGCGATAATAATTGCTACTCAATCTTCTCTTTCAAATTACGTATCAAACATAAATAATTCATTATTTTATCAATTAATTCCCTAATTAAATGGCCCATAAATATAATAAAAAAATTGACGAAAAAGATTGAATACTCACTAGGAGATTGAGTGACCAGGTAAGCCGCACCACCAAAATCACAAGCACCACTTGTTCTAGCGTTCTTTTGATAATAACTATTGAATGCATAAGATGCATGAGCCTCGAGAGTGTTAGGATCGTAACATGTAGCACCCTCTTGAATCGGACGGCAATCAGCTCCGCCCTCACCGCAAGCATAATCTAGTGCGTCCTGTAACTTTTTCTCCCCGGCCTTGCCGTTGGCCACACACCATGTCTGCGCGGAATTGCCGACTGAAACGTTCCCACTCGGTCGTGGCGCTGCAGCTGCCGGAACTTGATTCTTGCTTCCATTGTTCATCGTGGGCTGATTCTTTAAACCTTCCAGTGTGAGTGGTATATCATAGACTTTCTTTTCATTCGGGTAGAAAAGCCCGTAATTACGTTCAGAAGTGGGCCCGGTCTTCTGGTTTTCATTGAAGAGGGCAAATAAATAGACGTTAAGAGGCTGATCGGGCCTCAAGGGGGTCCCACTACCAGTGAGCACTCTGCGCACTAGGTTGCCGTTATACGCTGCAGCATTGGCCGGAGTTGCGCCAACTTCATTTTCATCTCCATTTGAAGGCCACCCAGTTTCAGAAACCACCATTTTCAGATCATTGAATCCCAAAGCGTTCATGGCTGCAAAAACGGCGTCGATTTGGGCCTCGAGCAGGCTTTTATATACGAGCCCGTTTTTCGGGTCAGTTACGCCTGTGTTATCTCTGAACATAGCGTAGTCTAAAGAAATGGTGTCTGTATTGGCTATGTAGGCGAAAAACGGATACGCATTGACCATGAGATAAGAATCCGTTTGTTTTAGAAAACTCAACATGGGTTTGATCACTGGTTCAATAAGGTCCGATTTGAATGACCCAGATGAAGAAGGGTATGAAGATTGGAGTGCACTTAATGCTAAAGGAGAACAGACTTTGATATTCGAAGCCACGCCGAACTTTGAGAGTGATGCGTAAACATTTTTCATGGCCGGCACGAGGTAAACTGTGGTGTTTTTAGGGTCTACAAAGACTTCATTACCAACGGCAATGGCGTCGATGAGGGTTTTAGGGTAGTAAGGGATGATGTTGGTCTGGACCCAGTTGTCTGTGTAGGACTGGCTAGCAGCGGCGGAGGAGAGTTGTTCATTAGGGAGCGCCACCGTGACGGAAATGCCAGAGCCTGAAAAGGCGGTCAAAACGGTGGAATCTGAGTCGTAGAGCTTCACTTTGGTCAGACCTTGCGCTTTAAGGAGTTGCACCACCTGCGGCGGCGATGGGAGGTTGTTAGCCACACGGCCGTAGTTTACTCCGATGGTGCCGGAGTCACCTAGCGCCATTTGGATAGACGATAATACGATAATAAAGGCGAAAAAATGACTGAAAAATTCCATGCTCTGAATCTAGAAAAGACACAGCAAGAAATTGGAAAATTTGAAGAAGTTTTCTGTAGTCCTAGATTGTGTTTCCATATGTCTAAACACAGGCTTATATAGAAAAATATATATTGGTGAAAACAGACTTGAAAAATGGGAAGTGGGGTAAGTGGAGTTGGGAAAATGGTTCGGTTAGTGGGTGTGGGTGTGGGTAGAGGGGTTCTTGTAAATATTTGTGCGAAGTAAGTTATTTTTATGAATCGTAAAGAATAAGGATGGTAACGGACCAAATTCAGCATTTGGAATTTGGCGTACGATTACTGCTAATTTCATTTTACCATTATGAACGTTGGAGTAGCCAGCCAGTTGTGTTATTTATTAGTAATGATAAAATAAAGGTGAATAATGCTATGCAATTCCATTGGATTACAATTCCATTCTAGGTAGCGTTAGATAATAAGTTGAATGAAATGTGAAATTAAATGATTTATTTAATTTCATCTATCATTTAATATACCACATTGACGTCACCTTGACTAGATCGTAAATCCAATGGGACTCATAACATTACTCAATAAAGGTCTTTATAAGAGATGAGTGGGGCAGTGAAGGGATTGATTGGTTTAACGGACTTAAGATTCACAATGTAATGAATTTCCATGTTTTAGCGATGTGATTGATCTCTCTGCAATTTTTTCTTTAAAGTTAGAATGACATATTTTGACTAAATATTTCATATGTTTACAATAATTCATAGTGAAGATTGGTGGGACTTTCTTGATTTTTAATTTAAAATATATAAAAAATAATTATGAATTTAATTGTTTTTGTTATGGGCATTTGTATGAATTTATAGTCGACAGGTACCTTTCTGGTATGAGACATCATCGGTGAGATTGAGATTCATTTGACGCGGATGTTAAAATGAACTAATTCTTCTTGCTCATAATCAATCGATGGTTGAATCCTAGTCAGTGTTATCTGAACGTCAATGTCTTTGATGGTTTTTATTTTGCATCGTCCATGGTGAGGTTTTTCTCGTATTCATGGTATTTTTCTTGTGGGGTCTAAGTTCTACTAAACATGAATTTATATTTTGATTGGTTGAAATTAGTCAAGATACATGGTGATCAACTAAAATTACTTATCTTAAATCACATCAAATTATTGAAGCATTTGGGGTGGCTGATTGGTTGAAATTTGTATTTAAAGGCGATTATGCATTTTTATTCAAAACTTTTAATTATGAGAAAGAAGAAAGAAAAATCACATATTTCAACGGCTAGATTGTAGAAATAAAGTATAATTATTGAATTGGTGCATATTTACTGTTGCCAAACTGTCAAGGTAAATAAATGCTTTTACTGTAAATTGTTGGAAAAACTTGGTGATTTTTTGCTTAGCAAAAAAAATCAATTTTTTAGCAGAAACTGTTAAAATTGATGAAATATGATTGATAATTTAAAAAGTTGTAAATTCAATATAATGCATGGTTAAAATTAATTTTTGAATTTGACTTAATTTTTATCGGCTTTTTATTAAAGTAGTAGGTTGACATTCATGTAACCTATATGGTCAATTATTTCCCTATCGACCTTTATTCACCTGTACAAGAATTACGTGCCACAAGTTGTTAAATGCAGTTGAGAAGATTAGGGAAGAAGGCACAACACTTTTATTGCAAAAAATATTAGTCCAACTACCTCTTCATCTCTTATCAATTTGATACTATTTTCATTTCTTTAGCAAGTTCATATAGATAATATTATCTTCTTAGACGTATTAACAAGGCAGTTGGGATGACGTGACAAAATTGTATACTATTTCAGCTGCTTAATCATTTATTATTATTATTTTTTTCCAATTTTCGGCGAAATTGTCTTTGGGAGTGACGTGTTGAATTTCGGGACTAGTTTATGGCTTTAATTATTAATGATAGTAATAATGAAGATTTAAATATTTATATGCAATTTTACGGCCCACTTTCGGTTCACACTTGAAAATGGATAGCGTTAAATATTGAAAATAGAGAATAATTTAATTTTTAAAAATATAACTTTTTGTAAGCGTGACGTAAAGTTTCAACCTCCTTGTTGTATTAGTAATTTAATAAAAAGGAAATGATTTTTTCTTTAAATATGATCATGAATTGATATAATTTTTTTCAATTACTTTCTTAAGAAGTACATCCTTACATATAATAGATGTTCGACTTTACATAATTATATATAAAGACAATCAAATATGCTAACGATAATATAATATTTTGTTGCAAGAGTTATGCTGGACGGAAAGGGAGTATAATCCCTCCAATAGGGGCGCCAATGAAGTCAGGTTTATCCTTGTTCTATTCTTTTTCTTGTATGTTTTCAATATAAACACAATTTGCCATGACTATTTTTTCCTTTTCAAATGTCAAGCACATAATTGAGTTAATACTGTTATAGTGTTCGAATTTTTTTGACAGAGGAGGTGACCAACTCTCATAATGGCAGGGGACCCTACTTTTTTATTCACGCGGGATCCATGACATGTGAGAGGATGTCAACCATTCGGGCAAAGTAGAAAGATTCTAATTGAGTATGT